AACTTTCAATTTATGCATATCACTGCAGTAAAAGACAACAGCGTAAGTAACAAAAATTATAAACAGGTCAATGAAACAGCTAACAACGACCACAAATACATATGTAAATTTTATAGTAAATTTTATATTACTCCCTCAGTCTTTTTTAGTTTGCATATAAATTTTGTCTGAAGTCAAAGTATATCTCTATTTTGACCAAACTTATAGAAAAAAATATCAACATTCACAATGCCAAATCCATATTGTTAGATTCATTATGAAATGTAGTTTCATAGTATATATATTTAGTGTCGTGGATGTTGATACTTTTTAATATAAATTTGATCAAACTTTGTTAAATTTGACTTGACACAAATCTAATATGCGGACTGGAGGAAGTACTTGGACGGAGTAGTTAGCGAAGATAGATAGACAGGTACCTTTGCCAGATGGAGATCCAGAAAGTCATACGTGGCTTATCTAGTTACTGCTAACATATATGTACTGTTCACCGATGCCGAAGGCACCAATCAATACTCTCCTCTTGTTATTTAAAATCACTCTAGTCTTATTTTGAAAACGTCTTACTCCACCCCTAGTCCCATCATGCAGAGAGAGGGGGGCTGAATTGGCTTCCCTGCCTGTCTGCAGTGCAGACTAATCAGGCACTGGACTGGACTTTCTTCAATCTCCTTTGTGATTTCGGTCATCTACAATCAAACACAACATCAGGCTTTTCCGGCAAATCCAGCAAACCAATATAAAATATGGATTTGGCATTGTGAATCCGTATAACTCTTTTTTTTTCTTGCACGGTGATACGTGTCTCATATAATATAATATAAAGAGCAAAATACAAGTCACGTAGCGAATTATGGTTAGAGAAACCGTGCTATCCCAGCCCACCAGAGTTCAAATCCTAATGATGACTTCGTAAATTTCAAGATGATATGCTAGATCAGTCTTTCGAAGGTGTTCATAGGGGTAGGGTGTGCATGTGTGCGTTCATAGAGGTGAGTGTATGCGCGTGTATATGAACATATACGCATGCGTCTGTACTTTGTAAAAAAAAAGTGTATTTCAGTTTGGTCATATCCGTATAACTCATTTAGCAGTCAGCAGATGTGCACATTTGTATAATCGGAGTACCACAAATTAAAAAAAAAAGGGATCCTCTCACGATTCGCTCCCCTCCTCCCTCCGGTCTTCCTCTTCTCCCCCCTCCCCTACCGACCTCCAAACCAAGTCCCATTTCCCCATCTCAATCCCACCCATAAATCCCCTCGCCCCGCCTCCCGAATCCCCTCTCGCCTCCGGCCTCACCTCCGCCGCAGCGGCTGCAGAAGATCGGCCGATACACCGGACCGGGCTCCTCCTCCGTCCCCGTGTGCCGTTCCACCTTTTCCTGCGCATCTTTTGGAGCAAAGTTCGCGCCGGAAAGCCTTTTTCTCGCTGTAGGAGAAAGGTCGCGGGTTCGATCACAGGTGGAAAGCTCGTCGCTTTTGCTCCCCTGTCCGTCTTCTTTGGCTTCCGGGGGCTTTGGGGAAAGAGGAGGAGAGATCGCTCGCTGCTGGCCACAAAGGGTTGGGATCTCCTCTCCGCGGAAGAATCTCTTTCAAGTTTGGGTAGAGCTCGATTTGGGGCCGGTGAGATGGCCGCTCCTCCTTCACTTCTTCCTCCTTCGCATCCACCAACGCCTCCATTGCTGGCATCCGATTCATCCACTTTTCGCCGCGGACTTAAAAAAACTAGCAGTTTGCAGCGCTCTGATTGTTTCATTCCATGTTTATTTTCTTCTGTTCATGCTTAGATGAATTGTAAATTCTTTTTCCCTTCCATTTCACAGCATACAAGTACAGTTTTCTCTGAAGTTTCTGTAGATCTTGTACCTGCCACAGTCCATGCAACTGCACTGCAGGTCATAAAGGATAAAAGGAAGGATAAAAAGGTCAAACTTTGTTCCTCTGAGAACAGTGGGTCAAAATTGTGGTGCCATGCCTGCCGTGTGGCACCATTAGGTTTATACCAGTAAAATGGCGCCTGCTGTTAGCCTCTCGCCATCAGAGGGCTTTGTTTTTTCCATCCACCCATCGCCATCGGAGAGTTGGCTGTCTGTGTAGCCAATTTCCCATCATCTTTCCTGCATTCAGTGCGCGACTAGAACCGGTAGCCCACTGACTCGAGACTATTCAAACCAGAATGGTATTAGTAACGAAGCTGTATTACTAATCTCTAGTCCGCGATTCGTTAGTCTACACGCGCTGATTGCTTTTCCTAGTGGATGATTATTTTACAGCACCACTAGACGCTAATCTTCCTCCTATTTGATTTCCTTGTGTATATGCAGTGCCGGAAAGCTCATTCCGAAGACCTTGACCGCTAGGAGATCGGTGAAGTTCTGGTTGTCATCGCAGGGTCTCCGGCAGATATGTCTTTCCGCAGCATAGTCCGCGATGTTAGAGAGAGCTTCGGAAGCTTATCAAGGCGGGGCTTTGACGTGAGGATTTCAGGCCTCCCTGGTCTTTCCGGCCATCATCACCGGGGGAAGTCTTTTGGGCCACCGGTTGAGCCACACGGCGGGGCTGTGGTGGCTGATCAGAATGGCTGGGTTGGTCTTCCTCCTGAATTACTTCGTGATGTGATGAAAAGGCTGGAGGAAGGCGAGAGCACTTGGCCCTCGCGCAAAGATGTCGTCGCTTGTGCGGCTGTCTGCAGCGCGTGGAGAGAGATCTGTAAAGATATAGTTCAGAGCCCGGAGTTCTGTGGGAAACTCACTTTTCCGGTGTCGCTTAAACAGGTAAACATCCAAGTAGCTGTGCTGTTGTTCATGATGGGTAGCTTGTATTTTTTTTCTCATGTTACAGCCTAAATAAAATATTGAAACTGGGAAACAGTGGTCGCGTGAATATTAAGAAATCGACATAATAGTATTTGGTATGCTTACCTAGTAATTTGTAGCAATTTTCTCGTAGGCAATTGAAAAGTAAGATATGCCTGCTTAGAAAAGTCCGCCTACTGAAAAGTAGCAGATAGAGGCTTCTTAAGTGAGAAAGACATGCCTACATAGTACTCCCTCTTTACAGAGGCAGTACATATGAAAGTTTGCACCTGTCTGACTCTGATTTGATGTTTTATCTACAGCCAGGACCTCGAGATGGATTAATCCAGTGCTTCATTAGAAGGGACAAATCAACACTAACCTATTATCTCTACCTCTGCCTTAGCCCTGGTAAGCATATGTGCTGCTTCTCTCATTAATCTCATACTGAACAATTGCTGTGTGCATTGCTTTAGTAACGTGGTAGTCAACGTTGCTGGATGCTGTGCTGACTATATGTTATGTGACATGTAGCTGTGCTTAGTGAGAACGGAAAGTTCCTGCTAGCAGCTAAGAGGAATCGACGGACAACATATACCGAATACGTAATTTCTGTGGATTCTAAGAACATCTCGCGGTCAAGCAACGGCTATGTTGGAAAAATGAGGTGATGTACCTTCCTTCACAACGTTCTTACTATCTAACCTTCAGTGATTTAGATCTGACATTGTATGTACACCAACAGGTCGAATTTCCTCGGCACGAAGTTCATCGTCTACGACACTCAGCCACCATACAATGCCGGGAGCCTCATCCCGTGCCAGCGTGGCAGCCGCCGCATCTCTTCCAGGAGGGTCTCCCCAAAGGTGCCCACCGGTAGCTACCCCATCGCCCAGGTGAATTACGAGCTCAACGTGCTGGGCACCAGGGGCCCGAGGCGTATGCAGTGCACGATGCATTCCATCCCGGCCTCTGCAGTCGACCCGGATGGCGTGGTGCCTGGGCAACCCCAGCAGCTGCTCCCTGGTCCGTTTGACGAGTCCTTCCGCAGCACGAACGCCTCCTCCAGGTTCTCCATGGCAGACTTCAGCAGTTCTCGCTTCTCAAGCTCCCGATTCTCAGATGTAAGTGGTGGGTTGCGGCGAGAGGAGGAAGATGGGGATGCCAAGGAGAGGCCATTGGTTCTACGCAACAAGGTGCCGAGATGGCACGAGCAGCTGCAGTGCTGGTGCCTCAACTTCCGAGGCAGGGTGACGGTGGCCTCCGTGAAGAACTTCCAGCTGACGGCAGCCGCGCCACAGGTGGCCGCCGTGCCGCCGTCGGAACCTTCGCAGCCGCCCCAGCAGCAGCAGCTCCAGCCGTCAAGTTCATTGTCGTCATCGACGTCCGATCACGAGAAGGTGATCCTGCAGTTTGGTAAGGTTACCAAGGACATGTTCACCATGGACTACCGGTACCCGCTCTCGGCGTTCCAGGCGTTCGCCATCTGCTTGACCAGCTTCGACACCAAACTGGCCTGTGAATGAATAGACCAGTGCAGTGGCACAAGTATTTATGTGTGACAAGTCCATCAAGATCTTTTGCTTTTTCTATTGCTGTTGTTGATTTACTTGTTTATTTCCCCGAGTGTCAAGAATGGCAAGAAATATAAAGGTTTGGTCGCTGCTATGTTTTTCATGCCTCTGAACTTTTCATGATAAATAATCTTTGAATTATGCGTGCATTTTTCCTCCCCTGGCCAATGGCGTGTACTCACATGAAGTCATCTGTAGTAAATCATGCTGCAAACAGTCAAATAGGGATTGAAATTCTGCATGTCAAACCAGCAAATGGCTTTCTGGGATCATCAGATGGCCGGTGGAAATAATTATACAGTTCAATGGTCTACACCTATGCAAATTATGTACAATTAACAATCCACAGTTGACTATCTTCAGATACTCTTCCTGGAATCTTGCTAAAAAGAAAAAAGAAAACTACAATCTCTTAAAACCTTCACAATGAAATGCATAACTGAGATGTTTACAGAAAGAGACCTATCACCAATCAACCAACATTCCCCAAATCCTACAAAAAGAAGGCAGCAGAGAGCATATGCCATATTCATCCAAATTCCAAACATCCCACGGCCCTCACTGACGAGCAACTTGTTGGTTTGCGCCCTGAAAACTATTTCTCACTGCAAGGGGGCGCTCATATACAATCAGCGGAGTTCATCGGGGAGCTGCCTCTGCTCAGGAGACGAGGGATGTGCAGCGTTGGTCACTGAATAGAAGTCCAGATCCCTAGTTTGATCGGAGCTCTCAGTAATGGTTCTGGTCATAACTGGGATCTCAGTGTCTGAATCACTTCTGCGATATCTTGCGCCATTGCTTGTAGTGCCCAACTCTAAGTCACTCAGGTCATCTGACCGGCGCCGTGAGGTCTTCAGGATGTCGAGGCCCATCTCAAGGTCATCCTCCACTTTGGCTCGTGGACGGTGGGGCGTCTCATCTTCGGGCACACTGGAACGGCTGATTCGTGGCAGGGACGCAACATGTTCCTCTTGAACGATGGCTCGCAGGTTGATCCTAGACGGCTTCCTTTTCGTGCACAGGACCTCGAAGCAATTGTGTATGCAACCACGGTCGAACGCATTGGGTTGGTTGCTGTACTTGTACTTGATGTTCTCATATGTTGTCTTGAGAAAAAGGAAGTGAAAATTTAATCAAGTTCAATAAAGTTGGTATTGAAATAAACATAAAGTTCTTATTATTTCTACTCCCTCCGTTCCTAAATATAGGTCCTTGTAGAGATTCTAATATGGACTGCATACGGATGTATATAGACATAGTTTAGAGTGTGTAGTCAATCATTTTGCTCCGTATGTAGTCTCTCTTGGAATCTCTAGAAAGACTTGTATTTAGGAACGGAGGGAGTACAAGGATGTACTACCCAGCAATGCATAAAAAATATCTGCCATGGAAAAATCATCCAATGAGATTTCAAGTGATCACTACATTTCAGATTAGCCAGTGTAAGCATTATATCTTTATTTGAGAGTAGATAGCTCACTAATGAACATAGGAACTTTCTACATTGTATCTCAAGGCAGTCCGTGTACCAATGTTTTCATGTGAGGTATGCCTTAACATTGACTACATAGGTTTAGGGGACTAACCTTATTTGTTGCAATGAGGTAAGAGTGGAATCCGGTGAGACCACCAACAAACCAGAAACAAATGAAACAGTATCCCATGACTGCCACTGATGCTGGAGATGCTTTAATTGCCTCCACCACTGAACGGTGATCCTTCATGAGTAGACTGATGTACAATGCAGACATTGTAAACACATAGAAACACAGGATTGCTGCCGAACAAACAAACCAGAAGAAGTAGCGGTAATTGCGCTGCAAAGGTGAACATAAATGCAGATAAGCTGAGATTGTTTTGACAGTAAGGGCTGTCAGGTAGTCAATGGTTAAATAACTAGTTTGACTCTTTGAGAAGGATAAATAAATCAGCACAACAAACCTGTCCAATACATTGACCAACCCAAGGGCAGTGGTGATCAAATCGCTCGACACAATTATCACATTTGGAACAGTGGGAGCAACGAGGAGGCCGATATAGCATGCAAGTTTCACAATATTTTACTCTCACGGGCACACCATTGACCATGATCGCTTTTATCCGAGGGAACTGGAGAGTATGAGGGGCTGAAGAATCATGAGAAAACTCCTCCACAGGTGGATTTGAATTCCTTGGTACAATACCTGGATCTTGAGATGAGGTCAAGAAGAGCAGTAACAGTACCTAACAATCAGATTTTGCAGAGAGGATACTATAATTTGGCAGTTGTTTACAAAGTAGCATGAAGTAAAATTCACAAAATAACTTCTACTGTTGAGAGAACATAACTCATGGAGAACGGTATCGTAAACAGATAAATTAGTATGCAAGAGCAGAATATAGATAAAACTACTAGTGAATAGACCAAACCAACAACAAAATTGAAGCGTGGGTTTTCCAACTCAGGAAATAAATATAGAACCATGCATGAAACATGTGTAGGTGAAAAAGGAAGATCAAAAGATCACAAAATGCTTTGACCAGTAGAGCCAAGTACAGTGTTTTATTGGCTGGTGAGAGAAATTACAGTTTCACATATATTATGCAGTTATTACAAACAAAATTCAAATGATGTATCATCTATGCCAAGGTTGATCTACACTACTTTGTAACTAAGCGAAAAGGTATCATCCAAGGTTCCCTTGATAAGAGAAACTAGGTTCTTAGCATGTTCGCAACTAACTATATCCACATCACAAAGTCTTAAATGCAATCATGGACAGAAGATAGTGATGGCTTAGTGCACTTTAACCATTAACTGCTGCTGTATGATCATAATGGTCTCGAACTAACTGCTAACCACAAAACTACACCCTGCCAAACATGTTGATATGCAAGTGTGCTTAACTTTTATTAATTACATGATATCTTGCATCTTGCAAATTACTTTTACGATGAAGCTCTCAGAAAATACGTCGCCATTCAGGACTTTTCTCCAACTGGACGAAGCAAACACATGAACTGTGGTGAACACAAATCCTACCAACCTATCCAAAACCCTCAGCATAACTCTGTAGTAGATAGGTGAAGAATGCTTACTCACATGAATTGTCAGGGCTACGGTGACAACCAGAATTGCATACCCTGCGTTATATGCAGGAAAGATGTGTATGAGATTTTTGCCCACAAAGATGCAGAAGACAACAACGGGGGCCACGATCAGCGAGAAAGATAGCAGAGTAGCCTTGGCATCTGGTCCAAAGATCAGTCTCCCACCACACCAGATTATCTGAAGAAAATGAGAGACGTCATTGAAACATTCGATAGCTTCACGCTACAAAATAATACAACAAACAACATCATGAGCAGAGTGAAGATGTCAACAAAGTTTTTCTCATACAAACCCCCTTCCCCATTTGACCCTCTAAATTGCCCTTCCCTTTCTCTAAACCCTTGAACTGATGGAGTAGTTGCAATGCAACGCAATGTTTGCAAGCCCTGTGCATGATTTTCAGAGCAACCTGAGCCCTGGTTGGATTAGCAGCAACAGGGTGTGTACAAAGACAAGAACTTGGGCCACCCAACTGGATTATCTTATTGGGGAGAGGACGGTCGCCATTCGCTGCGGCACCCAAGCTCCAAACCGATCCACAATAGTTTATTCATCCGTCTCGTCAGCAGTGTATGCAGTTTAATATACAAATCACCCGCAAATCAATCGAGTAACCAGCTAACCAGATAAAGATACGGGCATTATCCAGGAGCAGTTACCCCGCTCCCACTTCTTCGTCGCCTCGCCAGGTTAGACAGAAAGAACACAACGAATCAGAAGGAGTAGCGGAGATGGCACTGCGGCGGCGGCGGCCACCGCCGATGGATCCAGAGCACAAGGATTTTCTGAATCCAACTATCCAAGAAGGAAGAAGGGGGGCAAGAATAAAGGGAGTAATCTAATCTCACGTACGTTGTTGCCTCTCCAGACTTGGTAGACCCGCAGCTGCTTGGCCATGGCCGCGCCGCCCGCCGCCCGCCGCCGCCGCCGCCACCCCGGAGCAAGAAGGGGAGAAATGGAATCCACCAGTCGCAGTCGCAGCCGCAGCCGCAATCAGCCCGTGTACTCCTCCGACCTCTCCCTCTCTCCACTGGGAGGAACTCTTATCCCTCTCTCGTAGATTTGGTCTAGAGAGGGTGAGGGGACAGGGCCACGGCCAGGGGGGCACGGGAGCGAGATGCCATCAATCGCCGCTGGCGCTGGCGCCGGGTCTTCTTCCTCGGTGTGACAGAGATGAGACGAGACGAGATATCTGGCTGGCAAAACTACTAAAAGATTTGATCTTTGGATGGGCTATGCCCGTGGGTCTAGACTCTAGACGAGGGGAGGGGAGGAGGCAACGTCGTTACGCCGGAGTACCAAAGAATCTGTTCTTTGTTCCCTGGGACACTTTTCTCTCTTCTGCCTCTCTCTTTTTCTTTCTCTTTCTGATAATAATATACTACATACAGTATAATAAGTGCCATAATATTTTCTTCTGTTCATACTAACACCGAATGGTATTATTAATGTCTAAATATTCGTTCGATCGATCATCCGGTGCTGGAGTAAAATGGCAATTTATCAGGCCCCTAAAAATAGCAGTTTCTGCATATTGGAGTGGGGATACGGCATAGCATAAGGATCACATTTTAGATCCCTTGATTAAGATCCATGTGTCAACTGTTCATGATGATATCTCTCTTGATTACGATCCGTGTTTCAATTATTCATGACTCACATCATGAATATGGACGAAATTCTATGTGCCTGATTTTTTTTTATTTCTAGTTTGTTAGAAAGGGCAGGAATGGCATAGTGGTGAAGTACTCCCCACTTGTGCCAAGAGGTCCTGGGTTCGACGCAACCTCGTTTAATCCTTCCCCACGCCCACCTAACGTGGAAGCTTTTCTTCATACTGGGTATGTTTTTTTAATTATTATTACTATGATGAAATTTATTAGTTATATTGGAAACGTTGAGCGATGACAAGTTTTTCCTATCTGGCAAAATGCTTATTCACCTCCACAGTTTGCACTGCCTTCAGAAAATTTCCCATGCGTGCGTGGATCATACACGATCCTTGACGCTGGAAAGAATATCAGCAAAAAGTAACCTATTTAAATCAAAACTTCAACAACACGTTCACGATGCCAATAAAAGTTATTCTTGCTACCTGGGAGGGAATATATGCTCTCAATTTGATGCTATTCTCTCCCTACCTAGTGATCTACTAGAATAATCTGGCATGCGTGTGAAGCTCATCTCAGACCAGATGATCAGTGACCAGCGGAAAACCGGGATTTCTCGGAGGATAAAGTGGGCGTTGTTCTTGCGTGAGAGAAAAATAGGCGAAATTAATCAATCAATCCCATGTGATGCGATGTAAATAGTTGGCACTGCTCACTGCACGATGCTGTCTGCTTGATTGGATGCTGTTCTGGATTTGGACCAGCGATTTCACCTGTCAGTCAGTCAGTCACTCGGACCATGGGTCCTCCTCTCTTTCTTCCCCAGCACTCATTCAGATCCATCCATATGAATGTACTACCTACGTCTGAAAACATAAGACGTTTTTCAGGCTTTTTTTAGGCTAAACTAGCCTAAAAAACGAAGGTAGTGTTTTTTTTGGAATCTCTTATCTTTTTGTTGAGTTTTTTTTTTCCCTTTCTTTCTAATCATCCTTTTGTTGAGTTATTAAGAGTTTTTCAACCAATTCTCCTAGCTGGGATGTAGTAATTTGATTTCTTAGAGAAAACATATATAAAAACTAACTGGCCATGTGGAGATACTACATCAGAACTCACTGAAACATCGAGGCAGGATCTGCCCTAGATAACAAAAATGAAACATTTGATTTACAACTAACTGATCAGGTGAAACTTCTCTGCAAGCTAGGGGATGATTTACAGCTCGAGCAATCTCGTGATCAACAAATGAAACTGAAGTAGAAAATTTCTGCTCAGGATGGCAGAAGCAGCACAAGTGCCACACCCCGCTAACTGAAGCGGAGCGCCCTTACGAGAGGAAGAGCAGAGCCAGGGACGTCAGTCCCAGGAAGCAGCTCCACTGGAAGGCCGGAAGCCGAGCCACCGCCGCACTGGGATCGCCGCCTGGGCTCGTACCCTTCACCGGCGCCCTGGGCGGCGACGGCGGTGGGGGCGGGGGTATCACGCAGGTCCCGAATGTCGAGTTGGCCTGCAGCTCAGTCAGTGGTCACAACATCAGCATGCAGTTGCAAGAAACACAACATTATCTTAAATAAGTTGTTGCAAAAGGAAATCAAAGTTAGCCAAAAAGTAGTTGATATTGATAGAATCCCAAGGGATGCAAGCTCTGCTCAAGTGGGAGAAAATGTAACAGGACCGAACACTGTAAGACAGATACGTCCTTACCTTGCAGTAAGCAATGTTGTCACAGCCACATACTAGATGGCCATTAGCCACATCGGTAGCCAAGGAAGCGCCTCCGCCGTCGCTCCTCTGCGTGATTCAAATAATAAGAAACCGATCTGATCGACGACTAAATAAGCTTCATTTAGATAGAATCTTTAGCATGTTGGCATACCATGTAGTAATCAACGGCGATGTAGTTGGGCCACCGATTGCCCGACAGATCATGGCAGGTTTTTAGCATGCTAGCAAGTGGTGCGGAATTGTTCCCGCAAACCCCGGTGGGGTTCGGGTCCGTTGTGAAGAAGTTCATCAGAACAAGCGACTGGCTCTTGGAATCCATGGCAGGGGACTCTCCGCGATTCGGGCACTTGCCCTCCACCATACCCTCATTGCCATCTGCACAGATAAAGCAAAAACATATCAACAAAGAATGTCATAAAGACTAGATAAAAAACTTCACTTTCTGATTGTATTTTCTTCTTGTGTTGGAATCCTACATTGGCTTTCCACAACGTAATTCCACTCGTACGGAATCCCCTCGCTTGCTTCTTTTGCTTTCTTCGATGCGAAGACGAGCAGACGCTCATTCTGGCTGATCATGTCCTTGAGCAAAGGCCAGTTGCCACCGGTCTTGGGCATTTTTGCCACCGGGAACCAATACTTCATGAGGCCGGAAGCATTGAATACTTTTGGCAGGGAACCTGCAACAGTGTAGTCTTCCAGGAAAACCGTGATTACCGCTGAAGGGTTTGCTTCAAGGAACGTCTGGATTTCTTTGAAGACATTGATGGCAGGTTGCTGAACAGACCCAATTTAAGATTAGATATACAATAACACGATGCTCTGACGACAGCATGGAAAGTATTCAACTGATAATGAGATAATCTTACAAATGCTGTAATATTGTAGCATTTCCCACCGAATGAGTGGCACAGCCAGACATCATTGTTGAAATCGTAAGTGTCAAGCATCAAGCCCCTAACACCATTCTGCCCAAATCAGATAAAGATTCACATGGTTAATATTTTTCAATTAGCATCTGACGGTCCGCAATTCAGAGTATGAATGAACCACAACAAGATACAGCTTGGTGGTTTGCAGAAGAAACGGTAACTGAAAATTAGACAGTTATCTGTATAATCAGTAACTACCCTAGTAGAATGTAGTAGTTTGGAACCAATGGCATTTTGAAGAAGCAAATTTATAATATCTGCACACCAACAGAAAATAGAGTAGCAGCCTGCTAAATTGTGTTGGGTTGGCTTATCCTTTGTTTCTTTAGTTTTCTTTCTTTCAGTAAAAAAAACAACTTCAGAAGTGTATACGAGATATAGGGCAAGCAGAATACTTTAGGAACACTGGCTTGTTTCATAACTGCAACGCAATGTTAGCCTACTTGTGAAGCGTGGCCAGAAATAATTACTCAAAAAACATGCTCCAAGTCTCCAACACGAACACTGTATTGTAAGATTCTTTTTATATGAAAAGGTTCTACTTTCAGAATAGTGATTAAAAAAAAAAAAGAGGACGGGACGGGCATGATAAGCTAAGTGAGTGTGGCCCTTCCCTTTCCTTAAGACCAAAGCAATCGACACCTTCGCAGCATAATACCAAGAACTAGACATGATTACAACAAGGCTTGTTTCGCAATCAGAGACTTCAAGAATCCTTCTTTTATTTTCTCAATGCATTGAGCCCTAAACCAGGAGCCTTGGCGCAGTGGTAAAGCTGCTGCCTTGTGACCATGAGGTCATGGGTTCAAGTCCTGGAAACAGCCTCTTACAGAAATGTAGGGAAAGGCTGCGTACTATAGACCCAAAGTGGTCGGACCCTTCCCTGGACCCTGCGCAAGCGGGAGCTACATGCACCAGGTTGCCTTTTTTTTTATTGAGCCCTAAACCACCTAAAGAGGCAAAAGAAAATAAACGAATGAACCAAGTCCAAATTGCAACAAGTCATCCCCATGGCTGGAAGGGGAACACCAGTGTCGTTGAGGGTTTCGGCACATTTATTCTACTACTTCTGAAAAACAATTTTTTTGTTAAAAATGGAAGTGTAACAAAGTTAGTCCTGATGATTATGCTTTGAGCATCTTTGTGACTAATCACCCAATAAGCGTAGCCAGCCACCGCATGAGTTTACTAAATTTGGGTACCGAGGCCAGTGGCCATACTTACAAGAATCTATGTGAGGTGGCAACTAGACCAACCAAAGGCAAGTATGAAACATCTTCAGATTTGAGGTGGTGCCATTAGTTGTACCTAAATACTAGTGGTTGGCAGTTGTGCTTACATATTTAAACAAATATGGCAACAAGGGTGCATTATTCATAGTAGCATAATCCACGGTGTGATGGGGCAGCAGTACACATGGACACATGGTGGTGGTACGCAAAGAAAACTAAAGAACTATTTATACCTGGTACTCTTTTTTTCCATGCTCTATCCTATTTGAGACAAAAAAGGATTCATTTTATACACATGTATACTTGCAATTAATTAACGTGTATTTGTCTTTCCAGGCTCTAGGATGAACGAGCCTTTGGGCAAGGGGCAGACATCCGAGTCTTTATGGAAAAGGAAAACAGATGCCCATACCTGGACTGAATTCAAACAAAAGCAAGGGGAAAAAGGACAGAAAATAGTGGAGCAGCAGTAGAGCATGTGTCAAGTGTAAAAAGAAGGCGTTCTTATGTGTGCTGCGCAGCAAGCTTTCGTGGATTTGGCTGATATATATTCCTCCGAAAGGGAAAAGGTCGGGCGGGTAGGACAGTGAGACCTTGTGCCTGCTCTGAGTTTTGGAGTAAAGAGGCCCTACTTTGTCTGATCAAAGGGGAGGAGGGGCAGGTGGAAACTTAAGGAGGAAGGCACATTACATTACCCATCGCCAGTAGAGAAATGAAATGATTCAGTTGACACGGCAAGATGCATAATTAAAGCCTCGGTGCGTAACTGCAAGACTGAACTCAGTACTGTACTGTAGTGGTTAATTTTAGAAGGTGGTGGCAATTTTAGTTGGATCAGTGAACAAGGGCAGTCTTAGGGCATTTTGGCATAGCTATGTGTTGGATTTGCAAAGAAATACCAACATCTAATGTGCACTGAGTCTAGCAATAGCATTTTCAGTAATTAGTTAATTTTATTAGGGGTAGGGGTAGGCATTGACCGAGCAGGTAAAAAGATGAGATAGAAAATGGCGGTGCGGTGAGATTTGGTAATGGTAGGTGGTGGCAGGCACGAGCACATGGACATTGGAAACGGGGCGACTCCACGGAGACACAGGCTGCCATGGGCGAGGCGGACGGAGAAACTGGAAATGGTAACAGAGTAGTAGGGGGAGGCGGTTGCGACGGCGAGTTGGTGGTAAGAGTTTGTTGTTACCTTGAGCTGCGCGGTGACGGAGTCCTCCTGGTTGGTGGGGGCGATGATGGCGGCGCCGGTGGCGGAGGGGGCGCCGGCGAGGGCGAAGGAGTTGTGCGTGGTGAGCCAGGAGTAGTTGTTGAAGGGGAGGCCGGTGCCCTGCGACGAGAAGCAGGAGCGGATTAAGCGCGCGTCAGCATCGATCAAACCAAATCCAAAAATGAAGCAGCGGTTCTTCTTTAAATGAAGGAAGGAACGAAATGAGGCGCCATTGCGAGCAGGAGGAGGGGCGGCGGCTTACGTGCGTGAGGGGGTCGACGGGGGTGGCGCGCGCGCAGACGCCGGCCACGCCGTCGCCGCAGGCGGCGCAGTGCAGCCCCGAGCCGCAGCCTGCGCCGGCGGAGCACTCGTCGCCCACCCTGGCGTTGGCGGCCGCGGTGGAGATGAATACGAGGAGGAGGAGGAGGGCGCCGGCGAGCGGGCGGAGGCCGGCGGCGGGCATGGCGTCGCCGCGGTGGGCGGTGGCAGCCGTGCGGGAACGGGAGCGCGGCAGGAAAGCTCCTCGGTGGGCGTTGTTGGAAATGGGGTTATGGGACGCAGTTAGGAGTACCCGTTACTCTTTCGGTGTCAATCAGTCTCTCGGGTCTTATGTGTACCGGGACGTGGCTAATGGCTGAAAGATGGGTGGATCAATCAAAAAAATAACGGAGGCGATTGGTGATCGACGCGGCGTAGTACTAAACTGAAATAATCAACCGTTCAACACGTCTCACTGCGTCGGTGTGTCTGTCCTCCCAGCCCACGAACGCGTCTTCCAGTTTGACATGGTAACCGTCAACCCCGCCCACGATCTCTCCTCTCCCCCCGAGAAACCTTGTGTCAGTTCAGTTCTCAAGGGAAGGGAACGGAAACCGTTTTCGCTTCGCCGTGCTCTTCTTCTTCTTCTTCTTCTTCACACGTTCCTTCCATCTGTCTATCCGAAGAAGATTCAGTCTGCCGTGGCAACCTTCGCTGCGCTCACAAGCGACCGGCTCTTCTCGTACACACCAGACCAGGTGGTTGCAAAATACATGGCGACTTGATTTCTTCCAACAGGAACAACTCCAATTTTGTCAATGTGCTGCCTTCTATAAAAATATGGTACACCATTGGCGTACTCTTCAATGTGGTACAAAGTCAAGCTGTGTAATCCAGATTGGGGCGGCGAAACCCAGACCTGCAGACCAGACCTACCGCGCGCCTTGCCAAGTCTAACTCATCATCCGTAACCTATCAGCAAACCTCGTAGTTAACCAATCTCTACTAGTACTACCAGGACCAATTCTAGAGCAGACGAGACACGGCACGCCAGCCAGATCAACTCCATAATCCAATCTAGATGAGTCACATATACGTACTGTACCAGGGTTCATGCTGGACAACAGAGCAAAGGTATAATACTGTTAATTACACCACTTGCTCACAAACTTCTTACACACCCGGCACACACCGGTAGCGAGTCACATTTGCATAATTACATTGGTGTAAATTCTCAGTTTGCACTATGTATGTACGTATTTTATACTGTACACCTTTTCATAAACCCTACGTACCTTGTATACTTTTGGGGCTATTCTTTCCACTCTTTCCAGTAGCTTCTTCCCTTTGATCTTTGTGGTTCCACAAACCCTATGTACACACAAGCTTCAGATGGGCTTCCACACGCTGAGCACCTCCTGGAACATCTCCAGGGTGAGCTCGCGGTCCGCGTGCTGGAAGAACCCGCTGATCTCGTCCCGCACGTCGTAGATCTTCCCGAACACAAACAGGTACGCCAGGCACCCCTTCTTGAGCCGCTCCAGCTGGTACAGCCACGCCACGTGGAGCCGCTCCAGCACGTTGCCCGAGCTGATGTCCTCCAGCAGGCTCTCCTCGCAGCACGCCTTCACCTCGCCCAGCCCGTACTTGTTGGCCGCCGCCAGCAGCGCCAGCCGGTGCTTCCAGAACTGCTCCTGCCGGATCGTCCCGTACACGAACCCAGCAGGGCCGAGCACGACTCCACGCACATGTCCCCGATGTCGATCGTCGACGATGACTTCTCCTTGAGGTCGTGGACGAACATGCTCTCGAACACGGGCGAGCAGGCCGCCAGCACCGACTTGTGCGCCTTCAGCACGCCGTCCGTCGTGTTTATGGTCACGTCCGCGTGGATGGACTCCGTGAGCATGCGCGAGAGGCAGCCCAGGGTGCTCTTGCTGGCCACGCCCTGCACCATGCCTTCATTCGGCCAGATCGACGACGACGATTCAGTGCCCTGTCCGCACATTAATTAAAACTGGATCACATTTTAGAAAATCCTGACAGAGGTTACTACTTACACATGCCTATAAAATATATACTCCCTCCGTCTCCAAATACATGGCAGTAAGTTTATATGCCATGTATTTGGGGATGGAGGGAGTATATCCTACAAAGAAGAAGGAACCGTTTGAAGCTGATTCGAGGGGAAAAGGACAGAGGACACTTGCATTGTTCGTGGCTATCTTCAGGTCCAAGAACTCAACGTCAATCGTAAAACGCCCGTGGGACATCACATCAACTTGCCACACAAAATCATCGCTGCTTCGGAGAAGCTGCTCGAAAACTATCACAAAGCGATAAAAAGTTATTAAGTTCAGTGAGCCTGATACCATCATATCAGTAGTCATCACAGAGACAATATGACTAGGGAATTAAACAAGAAATGAATGACAGATGAGCAATCAAATGTTCATTTAAAAAATACTGCATTATGTTGAGATTATCGCCAAGCAGCTGCTCAAGATTCCATTTACAATTGCAAAGCACATTTGTTATTGTGGGCTTGTGGCCCTAGTTTGAGCTTCTCCTTATTTACACGCTTCTTTAGATTCAGAATACAATGTTAATATATGTTAGATACTTCAGAAAAAATTCTCTTCAAGGCTATTTATTATAGAGAAAAGTTCACTTTTGGTCCCTCAACTAACCAGCTTGTTTGCTTTTCGTCCCTCAACTCCTAAACCAGACATTCTGCACCTTGCACTTCCAAAACCAGACAAGTATTGTCCCTCTTTCGAACTAAAGCGGTTTCTCCAATGACGTGGAGTGGTTTTGGGTCTTGACTGACACTTGTCTATGCTGGTGTGTCCTAGTGATTTTCTACCCATAGTCTATGTCTCTCATATGAGTTGGCCCCACGTGGAAGATCTTTCTTCAACCTCTCTCCCCTGCACTTTACAACCGACATGGTAGGCAGCAAGACAGACCACCATGCCTCATCCCCCATCCCACAGGAGGAGCTCAACCTCTTGCAAAAGGCCAGGTCATCCCCCGACATGGTGGTGTGCTCGAGCTCGACAAGAGAGAGCTAGAAATACAACAGCGAAACCGGAATAGGGAAAGCACGGGGAGAGAAACCCGTCATCCATGCCCCCAGACGGCGGCCTAGAGCGGCGCGGAGGTGGTCCCGGCGCATGGGGCGTCAGTCAGAAGCCATGTGCGGTGTGGGGTGCATGCGCGGGTCACTCGCAGCAGTGCCGTGCACAAGAGCGGTGATAGGCACGGCTGGCTCGACGTGCCCACGCTCGCCGGCGGCTGCCCAGTAGCCGCTGGTCGGTGGCTGTGACGAGATAGACATGGCGCACGCCAACTGTTCGAAGAAATGTCCAGTAGAGATGGGGGGAAGAAGGTGAACTGGCAAAATTAGAATGCCACATGTGCGCTTCGGTCAAAATCCATTCCACGTCATGAACAAAACCGCTTTGATTGGGGACAGGGATGAAATTTGGCCGGTTTTGAAAGTTCAAGATGCAGAAGGTCTGGTTTAGGAATTGAGGGACGAAAACCAGACAAGTCGATTAACTGAGGGACCAGAAGTGGACCTTTCTCTTTATTATATCTAGGTCTTTGCCTCCAAATGGTAGTAGTAATTTAGCTGGTATGTGGGCAAAGTTCTCAGTTCACGGTTGGCATCAAGATGATCTGGCCATGCGTTCACATTGGAGCGTGAAAGCTGCGCACCGAGCAGGCACTCACTGTATTAGCCTAATACGAGTAGTTGGTGATCATTGGAATTTCCTATGCAACCACACAGACAACTACTACTCCCTCCGTAACTAAAACCACAATACGAATTATGGAACGAAAGGAGTAGTAAATAAAATGCAATAACCACATGGATGTGCTAGAAATGCACCAAAGCTTTATCATTTACCGATTGGAGATGTGTAACCTCCGTTCCATAATTCTTGTCGTGGTTTTAGTTCCAATTTGAAGTAAAACCACGATACGAATTATGGAACGAAAGGAGTAGTAAATAAAATGCGATGACCACATGGATATGCTAGAAATGCACAAAGCTTTATCATTTACCAATTGGAGATGTGTGGCAGAGCACTTGAAGAAGCAAACCTGGGGAGACGCTGGAGCGGCGCGGCGGGCCAACCCAGGAGACGCGGAGCACGAAGCGGGCGAGCGGCGGCTGCTCCTTGGCCAGCCGGCCGGGCTCCGGGAAGAGCCGCACGTACCGACCTGCTCTTCTCCACTGACAGGTACCTGATTTGGGGATTCATGACATCAGCCGGCGGCCAGCCTCGGCGAAAACGACATCTAATCGCGCCGTGTTTCGGTCGAATTCACGAGTTTCTTGGATTTGGGGGCGTAGAGGATTGGGGAACGGTGGTTGGGAGTGGTAGGAAGGAGGAGCGATACCAGTTCCAGATGCCGAGCTTGAAAGGGTCGGACCGGCGGTAGGAGCAGGGGCCGAAGGTGTCGATGCGCCACTGGGCGAGGCGGGAGATGGTCTCCACGCGGGAGTCCGGCCCGCTCGGGCTGCCGCTGCCGCCGCTCATGATGGCCCCGTCGCCGGAGATGGGGGCGCGGGTGCGGTGTCGCGTGAGTGGCCGAGGGTTTCAGTGTTGACGACCGACTGCTTTGCTTTCGAGTGATTACTGCATTTTTCTTTTTCTTTTAAATAAAACGAGATTATTAGAAATAATCAGTAAATTGTTCGTGAGGATCGTTACAATTTCATTTAAAGGCTCCCCGAACCAATTCAAAGTAGAAGAAAATCTAGCTATTCTAGTGAGTTCATGAGTTAATTTATTTGCCTCTATTACAATGTTTGAATCTAATCGTAATAAAATCACAGCATAGTGAAAACAATCATCCAAAATTGCTGCCGCAGCACCCGCCGACTGTCCTCCTTCTTGCATGGTGTCAATCATTTTCAGGTTGTCTGAATTAATAATAAGATGATTACAGCCTGTCCTTTGCGTCAGTATTAGGCCAAATTTGAGAGGTAAGACTTCTGTCGTGAGAACATCCGCACAATACTCAATCTTTCCATTTCCTCCAGCGATAAACCTACCTTTGTCGTCTCTCGGAACCACCCCCATCATACCCTTCATCATGTCATGATAAAAAAAACATCAACATTAAATTTCACAAAACCCCTAGGAGGGCAATACCAACCATCTCTTTTATGGAAGCCTTGGGAGATGA